CACACACACACACACACACACACACACACACACACACACACACACACACACACACACAAATGGTTTCCTTTCACTTAACCCCCCCGCCACCAAAAAGAAAAAAAATCTTGATCCACCCGTACAAGTCATTAAGGGGAAACTTGAGGACATTTGAAGCTTTCTGGTTGAACTGTTGAGTCAACCTGGGCTCATCAGTTCAGATTCAGCAAAGCGCTGCTCCTAATCTGGGTTCAGTTTAATCCAACAGCAAAGGAAAAAGAAAAAAGAAAAACCCTCAACATCTGGTGTGATAACCTGATGGGACGGCGCTGGCTGGATACAAACGAATTGTTCCCCGTCTCTTCCTGGACCTATTGTACGGCAGGAGGAGAGTTTGTTAAATATCGGCTGCCGAACAATGTATTCATCGAAACAGGCTGGGTAAATGTAGAAATAAGCACTGAAAGAGCTCGATGTTTGCATTCCGATGTGCTTCTTTCCTGTTCATCTTTTTTTTAGAAACATTCAGAAGTCTTAATCCTCCCAAGAGTTTAAATTAAAAARAAAGAAAGAAAAGAAAAATTCTTGACTCAAGAGGTTGTTTTGATTGAACTTAATTATGCTTTCTTTTGTTTATGGAGTAATTCATTCCACCTCAGCACACCTCAGCATATCTTCTCTTTGAACTGAACTGTAAAGTAATGCAGGTTAATTTGTTGCCCTCTCTGGAAATACGTGATTTTTTTGAATCCTTTTTTTATTGTTTAGATAGGAATTCATTGATGGCATGCAATCTTTCAACAAGGAGTATTTCTTCTCATCAGCAGCTTCTGTACTGATTTGACTTATGCAGAAAAGGAGGGCTTCAACTCGCCCTTGCTATTTGAATAAAAACTCTCACACTGTCAGTAGGTTAAGGCTAATGTTTAATATGMACACATATATATGTAAAAGACACTATTAGAAGCTTTGAAATCATCTCATATACAGTGTGAGCTATGCATGTGTTAAAATAGTCTTCTGGAATTGGCTTTTTATTAAGTTTTTCATAAGTCMCAAGTTAAAGGTTTCTATTAAGGTTCCATGAATAATTGGAATATGTTATTGTAATATTAATGCGCCCAACATAAACATTTTATTGTTATCGCTATATTTTATATATATCACAAATGATGGTGTGGTGTGAGCACAATTTATTAAAAGTTATATCACTGTGACATCAGTCTGCACATTATAGCAACATTTAATTGATGTCTCAATATGCAATGTGCACAATGTACTGAAAATGTAGCAGCATTGCATTTTCAGTGAATATTCTCCAGTGGGTTCGCAATATATCAAAAATTGTTCAGCGTTGCAAAAACCATAGGTATTTCATGCCATAGAKTCAAGCCCTTCTTGTTGGTAAAATGAGTCAGAATGAACTTTGCAAAAAAGCAAAACGAAACAAAAAACAAAAGTTTTCAAAGCAGCAGTATTGTAAACAAATTTAATTTGTTGCTATGCCAGGTGATATTTCAATAAAATTTAACATCTTCATTTTTGAATCATTTGAAACGGAAAATTTAAAATACCTCAATATTGAAAAGTTTCTCATTGTTACTCATTTTGCCAGGACAGATAATATGATGGTATCTGAAATGCCAAAACAGGCAGAGAAAGGGCATGGTGATATGGTCATCCCCATGTTCTTGAGATCCATATGTACCCCACCAGTAAACCCATTCCTGTTTCATGGTACATGTTTTTTCTTGTACCTGTGCTACCTGGACCTATATTTTGTAGTTCCCTGGKGCCAATGTTTCCCGGGCCCTATTCCCCGGGACCTATTCCCCAGGACCCATTTTTCCACAGTACATATATTTCCTGGGACCTGTGTTCCCCAGTATCTATAGCTTCCTGGTACCTATGTTCCCTGAAACCTATGTTTCCTGGTACTAATGTTCCCTGTGACCTGTTTTCCTGGTACCCGTGTTTCCCAGTACCTATGTTCCTTAGTATGTATTATCTCCGGTACATTTGTTCCCTGCTACATATGTTTCCCAGTACCTTTGTTTCCCAGTACCTATGTTCCCTGGTACATATTTTTCACAGTAACTATATTTCCCAGTACCTATGTTCCCCAGTACCTTTGTTACCCAGTACCTATATTCCCTGGTACCTATGTTCCCCTGTACCTTTGTTTCCCAGTATCTATGTTCCTTGGTACCTATGTTCCCCAGTACCTTTGTTTCCCAGTACCTATGTTCCTTAGTACCTATTATCTCTGGTACCTGTGTTCCCTGGTACATATGTTTCACAGTACCTATGTTCCCTTATAGGTTCCCTAGTACCTATGTTCTCTAGTACCTTTGTTCCCCAGTACCTTTGTTAATCAGTACCTATGTTCCCTGGTACATATTTTTCCCAGTAACTATATTTCCCAGTACCTATGTTACCCAGTACCTATATTCCCTGGTACCTATGTTCCCCAGTACCTTTGTTAACCAGTACCTATGTTCCCTGGTACCTAWGTTHCCCAGTACCTTTGTTTCCCTTTACCCATGTTCCTTAGTACCTATTATCTCTGGTACCTATGTTCCCTAGTACATATGTTTCCCAGTACCTTTGTTATCCAGTACCTATGTTCCCTGGTACCTATGTTCCCCAGTACATTTATTTACTAGTACCTATGTTCCTTAATACCTATTATCTCTGGTACTTTTGTTCCCTGCTACATATGTTTCCTAGCACCTATATTTCCCAGTACCTTTGTTACCCAGTACCTATGTTCCCTGGTACCTAAGTTACCCAGTACCTTTGTTTCCCTTTACCCATGTTCCTTAGTACCTATTATCTCTGGTACCTATGTTCCCTAGTACATATGTTTCCCAGTACCTTTGTTATCCAGTACCTATGTTCCCTGGTACCTATGTTCCCCAGTACATTTATTTACTAGTACCTATGTTCCTTAATACCTATTATCTCTGGTACTTTTGTTCCCTGCTACATATGTTTCCTAGCACCTATATTTCCCAGTACCTTTGTTTCCCAGTACCTATGTTCCCTGGTACATATTTTTCCCAGTACCTATATTTCCCAGTACCTTTGTTACCCAGTACCTGTGTTCCCCAGTACCTTTGTTTCCCAGTACCTATGTTCCTTAGTACCTATTATCTCTGGTACCTATATTCCCTGGTACATATGTTTCACAGTACCTATGTTCCCTTATAGGTTCTCTAGTACCTGTGCTCTCTAGTACCTTTGTTCCCCAGTACCTATGTTCCCTGGTACATATTTTTCCCATTACCTATATTTCCCAGTACCTGTGTTCTCCAGTACCTATGTTCCCYAGWACCTATTTCCCAGTACCTGTGTTCTCCAGTACAATACCTGCATTTTATTTTTTTAATTGTATTTGTTTTTAAAGAAGTTTGAAGGGGAAACCAAGCAAATTTCATGAGGTTCATTGTTAACCTATGAGAACACAGGTAATGGGCAGGTACCAAGGAACACTGTACTCCTTGTGACAACATATAAGAATGAGGAGTGAGGGGGAAATGCAGGATTTTCTCAACTAATACTTTGACGAATAATATTACAAGCTGGATATTTTATCATTCAT